CCTTCGTTAAATTGCATTAAATAAACCATTACGTTCTCCTTCATTATTTGTTCGTTCCTCCTAAATAAATATCCGTTCTTCAACGCTTGTTTTAGGAGATTCACGATTTTGACGAAGTTGTTTTTCAAGTTCATTTGCCATTAGATGGGCTATTAATTGACAGCTGTGTCTAAGGGATGTCGGCCTTGGTCACTAACAAGACTACAAGATCGCGCCTCTGATTCTACTGTACAATCATCTCCATTCATACTTGGCTTTATACCTACTTTGTCCATACAAAGTAATTTAAATGTACTATTCGCCATTCCTAGGAAAGTATTAAAGAGTAGGAGGATCATGGTTTTGTGTATCAGTTTTATTTGGATTTCATTTTTGAAAATCGTACTCAATAGGCTTTGGTTGTATGTAGGTTGGTGTTTTCGTTGAAAGGTAATTGGGAAATGGTAGATTATCGGGCGTAGGTTTGTGAAGCATAGTGTCAAGCTATGGAGCAAGTTTAGACGATTGTAGTCTTTCAGGTTCCTCGGATTGACTGGTCTGCGTAAAGTGAAGCAGTGTTTTGATAGCTTGGTTCCTTTATGGCTCTGTGAAATGAGGTGATTGTCATTGGCTGGTTAGTGATTATTGTTCAAATCTTTAAGTGCTTGGTTCCACACTAAGTGGGATTGGTTTTAAACTCGGATGCAATTTGTAATTTGGTTGATTAATGAATAGTTTGGCAACACAACCGTGTTGGACAATACGCTTATTAACTAAAAATACCGATGGCGTTGAAAATTCTACATTTAAATTAGACGTAAATTTAGCTCATCAAAATAAAAAAATAAATGAAATTGATTATAGTATTACGACTATACACAAAATAGACTCCCCGTGTGATATAAAAGTTTGAAGCCAAGAAAATAGATGAAGTTTAGGACCATCTCACCAGAATTTACTAGTGTATTGGGTTAAATCTATGCAGGTTTTTTGTGACGATTACTCCTCCGAAACTACTGAACCGATTGACATGTTTTTGGTGTCATTGGAAAGCGCGTAACGTGAAGTTGTGCAGGAAACTTTCTTTTTAGAGAAATAATTAGACAGTGAGGCCCTGGGGCCCTTGAAAGTTTCGTATTTCTCCGTAAAATTAACATGGGAAACAACCATTGTTATAAAACTCCAGCTGTTGTCAGAAAAAGTGAGAAGAAGAACATATGTTAATTGATAAATTGTGACAGAGAGGTTATGCAGAAAATCAGGTTGTTAATGGTTATTTGGTGCTATTAAAATAAAAACTGAAATTTTTAAACGAACTGGCGACAATGGGTGATACCATGCAGACTACATTATCATTGACAAAGACCAACATGGACAGCCTATTGGGCTATAAGTGGGAAACATTTCTGCAATACACTAAAAGCCAGATCAGCTTTTGAAAAATTCATTAGTTACGTAATCTTTGAGTTGACTCTTTTAAACTCATCGGAATTCATGACTTATATTTTTGTTCTTAAATAAGTTATTTGTTTTTAAATAACTCCTTTACTTCTTTGTGATTGCTCGATTTCGAGCAAGATGTACAGTAGTATTAATTAAAACCAATGCAGAATCATAGCAACCAGCTGATTGATTGATTACTTAATACAGCCATCTCAACAGATTGCACGACGTTTTTTTTTTGCTTCAAATGTTTACATTACATGGGAAGTCTAAATGTTATTACCTAATTTGACGCAGGTAATTTGGACCTACAGTATTAGCATAGATAAAGCATACTCCCTTAGTAAATTTCTCATCCTTAAGGAACAGCTGAGGCCAGTTTTATTGTTAGTTCTGTCCGGTGCACTGTAGAGGTCGTGTTTTGTTTACAACTTGTTTTTTGTTATTTCAGTAATTTAAAACCTCCTTTAAAAATAATAACTTGTCTCCTAGTTATAAAACCAATAAACATTAAAATCCTAATAATGAAATTAACCTTCAAATAACATAAACAAATCTTCGTCAGCGATATGGTGTTGGTTGTGTTGGTTAGTCCAATAATTATCAATTATTAGAAACCTGCTGTGAATCTGATTTTTTTTTTGTTTTATTTACTTTATTAATTTGCTTTTTGACCTGGCTTTTATATTTTTCTAAATTACTGTGTTTTGTTTTTCCTCGTGTTCAATATTTTAAAATAAATTCATTACCACATGTTTTTAGTTTTACAGTATTATTAAGAAGTTTTAAATTTAACTTATTCATTTTAAAAAGATCTTTTGTTTTTAAATTGAAAAAAAAAATCCTACTATAATCTGTCTCAACGTAATTATTTTATTATTTTGGTTAATTATTTCCAAGATAGCTCACTCACGGTATAAGACCTAGGCCCGGGACCGATTTAATTTTTTGTTTCAATGTCCCCAGAGGACAAAATACTACCCCTTTCAAATTCATGTACTGGGCGTTCTGTAAAATTAAGTTCAAAATTCAAATGGGTCAAAATAAAACAAAATTCATCAAAAATAACATTCTTTAAAAAAAAACTCATGGTTTGGAGATATTTTTCATGTATTTATTTATATCTAAATAACTATTTAAGATATTTTTGTGGAGTTTAATTATCAAATTTAAAAAGCAATAAGCTATTTGCAAAAAATTATCATTCACATTTTTTTTCGAAATGGTGGCAATACTCATTTGTATAACTTAAATGCAACTGTTTCCACATTGAACAAGCATCAACACCACGTCCAGATTTTACATATTAGGATGGGTAATCTACTTGTACTTTTAAACACAATAATAAACCCATGTAATTATAATAGAATTATATAAATATACTAGCTGCTGTGGTTAAATACAACGGTCTCTAGAAAAATAGTACATAATACCAAGCATAATATGCTTTATTTACAAAATATAAACAAAGAAAATAACAATACAACAAACCGCTGTTAAATTATTGACACGTCATGTTCTACATTGATTGATGATGGTAGTAGCAAACCCACTGCTACCATAAATCTTTAAAAAAATCAAACTGTCATAATTATTTGCAAATCTACACGATGAAGATTTCCATTGACATATTAATTAATACAGTCGGTCCAATAGAACTGTAGATTTAGTACAAAGTTTAACAAAAATATCTCTAATTCAGTATTTTCTCACTCACCACTATAAATTTGGAGATTGCTTATAGCTTTATTGCAAATAACTTTTAATTGGTGAGGAAATCAACCAAAAAGGAAAGTATATACTAATACAAATTATGCATTTCTTGAAAATACCTATATTGAAATACCTAATAAGGATAGCAAAAAGTTGTCTCAAAATATTTGAAAACCCCTGTTTTTAATGTATTTCTTAAGGAAAACAAGTTTTTTAATAAGTTTTTTAATTGTTGACCACAAATCCTAACAAAAACAAACTTACATAACTATTTGCAAATCTTCTGGGACTGAGGTTTCCAACGACCCTTTTGAAATCAGTCCAGTAGAACTGTAAATTTAGTTGTACAAACATTTAAAAAACTGAATTATTGCAAAAATAAATTGATTTTACGATAATTTATATTAATTTAGTTTAAGGAGCTGGTTCAAATAGTTTGTTTTAGTTGACACTGACTATTGGATTCCCATTTACAATAGAGCAATATTATTTGTTAAGTTATAAAAAAAATTTAATCAACATCAGCGCAAATTGTTTCCAGTACTTTATATCTTCATCTTTGACGAACAGTATGGAATAGATTGGGTCCTGAATATTGTTATTGCATATGAATCATACTTCAAAACCAGAAACTATTTTCAGTAAATGGTAAAACAGTGTGTTTCTGTTTCTAATACTTATTCATAGCTTTTGGATAAACAGTGAGTTGGCAGTTTGTTTGGCTGCTCTTTAGTTTACGTCCTACACTCATTCGAATAAATATATCGATCGATGTATTGATTATTTCATTCGATATATCAAGTTTGGTTAGCTAGGTTAAAACCTAACCTAACTAACTGAATGAAATAATCGATATATTGAATAGTCGATATTTTTCATTCGAATGAGTGTAGGATGTAAACTAAAGTGCAGCCTTTTATTTGACATCTGATTTAAATTATTTGTTTTAGTTCCAATTTCCAGATTGAATGGATATAATCAGTGCGACTGTCTATTTGAGTTGTATATACCAGCGGTAATTTCCAAATGACCTGTAATACTTTCTACTTGTATTCTTTGATCAGTGGTTTTCACAAGAGTGGTTTTTCCTTTGTACTGTATTTAGATTGTATTTTTATTGTTTTGCTTATAATCATATGCTGTGATTAATTGTTTACAGCTATGTTGTTATTTTGTAACTCATCACAAAGCCTAATGTTAAAACTTAAAACTTGGAAAAATTAGTTTGAAATTTTATAGGCACTTTCCAATTGAAATTTGTTTGTAAATAACATTTGTTGTAACAACAGCTGTTATTTTTTTATGCAATTACAAAGTTTGCAGCCGGAACTCAAGGAGATCCGCTAGCTACCCTAAACAAAATCACCTGGTGGGAATGAGAAATTATGTAGTTTACTTTATCCTTAAGTTGATGACAGTGATCAGGAGCGATATATCCTGATCAAACTTTCTAAGGATCAATGATGAACTGATTGCTAATGATTAAAACACAGTTCATACTATAGATTTAAATACACGGTATCCTTGTACCCCTTTTGTGGGATTGTTCCTTGCATAGAGAACAACAACAAACAATTTTGCAATATAGCCATGGGAGACCCATATGTTCATAAGAGTATGCCTAGTTTTGCGTCTATCTGCTTGTATTTGTTTTTTACAAATTTCCTTAAAGATTCTTAACACTTCATCATAGAATCTTTAAATATGGTACATACATGTAAAATTGTGTTACGATAAACTTTCAACAAAGTTATTTTTATATCTTTAACCATTTCAAAATGGCAGCTTGTTAACTGAGAACTCAATTGTCATCCGAGAACACGACCAAACGGGTTACGAAGGGATGTTAAGAAATACAATATAGGTAACAAAATAGATTTAAAGTTTATTCAATATTTTTCAACAACATTATTAACAACTCATTATTTTCTATTTCAATTCTTGAAAGTATTTAAGTAAATCGGAACTAAGCTCTCATTAAGTGATGTTCAGCTTATTTATATATCAATCCTAAGTAAAATGCCTCAATGAAACTATAAAAAATATCACCTTTAAACAATTAGTGATTTCAGTCTATCAGTTACTTACTTGGGCAGAATTTTACACATTATGTTTAACACCGTGGATCATACTACAATTAATCATAACACCGTTAAATATATACAAGAGTCCATTTTCTCTTTTTGATCCTTCTGCCAATCTTTACTTCACACCAAAACAACCTTAGAAATATTTAACAACTTCTTGTTCTAGGCTCTCCTAACAAATCTCCTAAATTAAAATATTCATTGATCAATAAAATTTGTTCATACATTGATCATCAAAACTTTAAGTAAACTAAACCGATTTGTTCTTCAATGGTCTTAAATTGAGTGTATGCAAGAACCAGATTTTCAAAATACTAGGCTACTTTAATCTATAGGTTATCTAATAAAAAATCTAATGCAACTTTCAAAAAACTAAATAAAACACAAAAGTCAAAACTAGTGACATAGACTAACCAAACCGCAAGTAGACTTCTCATCCCTTTGTTATATTTTGAAGCTCGGTTTTTGTGTCTAGTTCATGTCCCGTGACACTGGGAGTTAGTGGCGGCAAAATTTTGTTTATATTATTTTAGGGTTAATTTCATGATTTGTGCTTTACTGTTTGGTTATATAACTAGGGTACTAGGAGTCATTGTTTACGATTGTATAGTTTCATTTGGTTAAATGAGGTTTTAAATGGCTGAAATAACAAGAAACAAATTGTAAACAAAACACGACCTCTGCAGTGTTCCAGGCAGAGCTAACAAAAAATTGGCTTCAGCTGTTCCAGAAGGATGAGAAATCTACTAGTTTTAACTATCCTAGTGATCCCCATAGAAATAGAGTGTGGTGCTTTGTGTAGCTTTGTTACTAAGATCAGTTGCTTTTTTAATCATCACAATAAATCCAAATTCAGTGATAAATACCGGCTGGGTCCAAAAAACAAAGGTAGGACTAATTATATTTTGAAATGGTAGTAAATAATTTTCCCAAGGACCAAATCTTGTGGACCACAGTCAGCAGGAAGACCACATATTCAAATTGTACATTATCCTTGTCAAATTGTGAGTAATATTTTAGCCCTTGCGGTTTGAAAGACTATTTTATGCTGCCATAATAAGTTGGTTGTCAGCTATAATGGGCACTTTTACACAGAAGGGATAAATTTTACATTGGTTTTCCAAACCTGAATGGTCAGTGGTACGGGGCATGTTGTGATATCTGCTATGTGACCTAAAAACATCAGCTTATGCACATTGGAAACTAATAAATTTTAGGTGGTAGCAAGATGTTGCTTTGAGGCAGAGAAAATCAGAATATAGTACTGTAGCACGATGATACTGCCAGAGGAAAAATAATGGTACCTAGATAAAAGCCATAATAAGCTAACATGTAAAACATAGTGTTCATATCCAGTTTATATACTATCAATCACATTAATTCACAATATTGTAAGGCTACAACAAATGGTATCTGTAGGTTGCTGAGCTAGCTAACCAAATTTTAAAGATACATTTTAATTGCTTAGCTTTAACTATAGGAACAGAGGGACACAAGTACTTCTAAGATAAAAGGTTGTGGCAAGCATCAATAGAGAAAATACAGAATAATACGTCCTTTAAACTAATTGGAAACCGAAAAAACAATTTTATTTATAAAATAAACTAATATATACATACTTATTGAGCAAGATTTATTAAAGTTATAATTTATCATCATATAATTCAATTTTATGTTGACAAATAAAATACGTCAACAACATAAACCCAAACAATTTCATAAATTGATTTGTTAAAATTAAAATTATGCACCGAGTAAAACAACAAAAACAAATCTCACTTACCAGTGATGTAAAACACCAAAACATTACAAATTCCATACAGCATAACTCTCGTAAAATACTTGTGTAAAAATTTCTAAAACTCTAACCTAGTCATACTATTTGTTCTTAAATGTAAAACACCAGTGATGTCGATAATACAACCTGTCAATACTTACAAAATACTACAACATTCAACATCATATAAAAGCTCTAAAAATATATTACTCGGATCACATAATTGACTTAGTGGTAGGTGAGGAATGGACGGTAGGTTGAGCTGAGGCGGAGGTTACGTGTTCTTGAAGATGTTAGCGGCCTCGGTGGAATAGTAGTCCCAGGTCCAGATCTGCGTGGGGCCGCCACTACACTTGGCGGCTCTCAGAGTGTCTCCCACGGACAGAGTCTCTGCGTCTAGACACAACTCTGTAGCGTCATTCACCAGCTGTCCCGACTGTCAACAAATATCGTTGGATAAGTTAATTGTTAAGGCCAGATTTGCTTTAGATTTTAATATTCTAATTCCTTTCTTTTAAGATTTACTTTTTACCGAACCAAGATCCCATTTATTTTTATTTCTTCAATAAGAGTAACCCAGCTTACCCAATCAGCCTGATTTAATCTCACCTCAACTCAAGAGGACCAAAGATAAGCCAGCATATCTCATGACCTGGCAGCTTTCCCGAGATGGCTGATACATGAAGACAACTGTGTATTGAGAGATCCTTTATCTTGCTAACTTTCTTATGCCCATTTCTTATGTATTTCTCCAATCCATTTTTTTTATTATTTTAAATTCCACTTTCATTTTTGTTTTTTGACTATTAAAGATTTTTGCAAACATTTTCCATCACGTCACAAGAAAAAAGTAAGTTCAAGCACAAAACTTTAATGCGTTTGGACCGCTTTCTCCCAACAGTGTTTGAATACTTTGAATTGACTTAATTAAAAACTGCTACTGATGTAAATACAAGCAAAAAGGAACATTTTTCATGGCACATGTTCCTGAATCTGACACCATCCTCAGATAAGAAAGTACCAAAAACATACACAATTGCTACACAAACCCGGCTAATTTAATTTTACATAGGAGTCAAGAGCTATCAGTGTGGCTTATCCAGCAGGAGTTGTTCAGTACATTGGGAGATGTACAGTATGTTGGGTGGGAGTTTTTCAGTTGGACAATGTTGTTACTGCAGTAGACTGTTATGTCTGATTCATGGCCAAACTAAAAATAGTATTTTACACTGGAGCACTTGTACATTTGATTCCACAGATATCCCATTTGATGGATCTTCCTACCTTTGTCATCCTCCAAATTTGTTTAGCTGAGGTTGTGGAACACTTCTCCATCCTGATCTCGTAAGTGGAAGTTACAGTGGCACAAGTCTCCTCTCTCCTGATTTGTCCATCGTTACTGAGAGAGAACAGCTGGGCAAAACAAATTATAACAAATATTAAAACTAGCCTGTATAAAAAGTGTTAAGTTACAAAAAAAGGATGAACTACAAGTGACAAACAAAAATTGTTTTATAATGATTGATTTGAAATTGGAACAATAAGTAAATTTGATAACCATATGGTTTGTTAATTACACTCTAACAAGTGTGTTTACAAAAACAGGTTCTTACAGTTGTAATTAACGATTGGGAAGGTTAAGGCGAATGGATTGTGTTAAGTCTTAAAAGTCCCTCCACTGTAGAAGTCAAGTCAAGTAGTTAGAAATAGTAGTCTACTTACTGTACTAAAAGAGGGAATATTTACCTGACTACTAAAGATTTTCTTGTGACAAACATAGACTCCGACATTGTACTCAGAGTCTTCTCCATGTTGCATTGTATCGTAGCAGAGATCCGTTGCCTCGTTTCTCACCTTAAAAAGAATTCATACCAATTATAAAAATGTTACGATTTTTTATTTTCTAACTACTTACAATTGATATGCATATTTTTCAATGTATACTTCTTGGTAACATTTTCAATTGTTAATAAAATAATTAATATTTCTCCTATCAAATTCTTCATGAGTAACAAAAGCAAACGCTCACTCGTGTAAAATATTTAGTAGGATATAAATTTAGGGATTTTGTGGCTGTGAAATATGGTTAAAAACTGCATTTTAAATGAATAATTCCTTACTACAGTAGACTCCCTCTTATCAGGACTCCTCGGGACCACAGAAAACATACTACTATAACCCAGAATGCCAACCGCATGGTAAAAAGCATTAAGTGGTTTGAGAGAGCTTTGCCTGTCAATCGTAGGCAGCGCCACCAGCATTGCCATGCACTCAGCATAGCAATGCTGGTGGCGCTGCCTACGATTGACAGGCAAAGCTCTCTCAAAACACTTAATGCTTTTTACCATGCGGTTGGCATTCTGGGTTATAGTAGTATGTTTTCTGTGTCGGGACCGAGGCCAGTCCGGATAACGGGTTTTCCGGTTTTAAACCGACGTCCCCAAAAACTCGTTAAAAAAGACCGTTTGAATGCATACTGTATACAGTATTTGACTTAAATTTAGAAGAGCTTGTTTAGCCACGTGATCATTGGTTTCAAATCTTTCCCACAAGAACAGACGTTTCAGAACTGCCCATTTCCTGCCGATCTAGTCCGGTTAAACTGATGTGCTGATACAAATTGTCTGGTTAAATAGATGTCATTTCCGCAGAGTGTAGTCCGGTTAAAAGGTGTCTGGATAAGAGGGAGTCTACTGTATGTTTAGGTTTACTGCCAAGTAACTGCGAATTTATTTACTACTGACATGTTTTAATTTTAATGCAATGCACAAAATATTTGCTGATCTAAATATACTGTCAGTGAAAACATTTTAGTTAAGGAGTTAACAAATAACCATACTACGGTACTACTATTACACCTGAAAAAAGCGTAGGAAAAGTGTAGGAATGATAAAACTTAGTTTTTAAAATAGGAAATATAATTCCTCATATAAAATGAAATTGTATGAGACTATTTTAAAAGGTACTAATGCTCAAATAAGTAGTAAGACCTAGGAGGATTAAACATTAAGGAGAGGGCACGCGAATAGGAATACACATGTTGCGGTGAAGCCAGCTTTAGCAGAACACTAGAGGGGCACGCGGTGACGTAGAGTGGCAAAAAGCCGCGGCTATAACATGGGAGAGATAGGGAAAAACACGACACGCGCTGTTTCGAATTAAAATTGTCGCTAAACTAAAACACTTGTGTTATTCACCGATGGCATCCTTAAAGTAAATTAAATTTCCTATCAAATGGTGTCAATAATTTCTATACAAACTATTATTTATTATTTGTTATTGAAGATCAAAGTTGAAAGAATTGTCCCGGACTTTGAACATATGATTACTTTAATTACGTTTTAGAAAGAAATATGATGTATCTATACAAATTAACAATTTATTTGTGTTCCTGAGGAGTTTCTCGAAATAAAAAATATAAATTTTCCTATATTTAAAAGTCGTATTTAGGAAAATATTTACAATAAAATTCTTTTTTACTTTTCCAGTTTATACAAAAATTTTATTAAATATAGGTTTAAATGAAAAATTTAATTTGGATGGAAAAATAAATTTTAAATTTGCATTTTTCATCGTTTTCTCGATTTATAAATACCATTTGTTACTAGTTTTATGTCATTTATGTGCTAGGCAGGTGATTTTAAATAGCCAAAGTTAAGAAAAAAATCAAAGCCGCGCTTACTTTTTTACACTAACAGCCGTTACAATTAAATTATAAACATAAACAGTTAAACAATTTCTTGGAAATAAAATTCTTGATTTTTTATTATCATGTTGAGCTATATTTGATCTGTTTGCCCAAAGAAACTTCAAGTAAAAAGTGCAAACGTTCAACAATCATCGCGTCTTCTGACGCCAAAGTGCGTTTATCATTATTTTAAAGGATTAAACCTTATATCATTTCTCTTTCAGAAAAATTTTCACATGCACATACAGTACTGTTCATGATTTAAATTTAGATTTATGCATAGTATTACAAAATAATACACAATATAAGTATCCCAGTACGGCGCCGGCGCCGGCGCGCGGCCGCGCTGGCTTCAACGAAACTACAGCGTGTCCTCTCCTTATAGGCGCCTTAAAATAAGAAAATAAATAGCAAAACCTAGAAATAATTAGAACACAGATGAAACCATTGTTGTTCGATAGTGAAAAGTATTGTGAATAACATATCAAAAGTCTCCAAAAATATCTTTAGTGGAACACCACTATTTTTCCAAAATGGCGGCCAAATCCAGTAGTTTTTTGCTTTTTATTGAAATTCTGACTTTCCAGTCAATATTGGTGAAAAGTCGTAAATACATTTAATGTTCCTCTTGAAATTACCTTTAAAATGATACCAAATACATGTACCTACAACAAAAAATAAGCCCCGTAGAAATAATAAAATATTTCAAATTAAAATATTTTTTATAAATTAATGTAATAGTCCAAGAAATAACGTACATAGGGATCGTATAAAAATTTTCAGGAAACACTTTATGGTTTTATTTTTATTGTTGTGGTGTGCAGAGTGACATACCAAAAGTTGCAAAAAATCAGTCCACGTGAAACCCCTAAATTAAGGAAAAAATGGCGGCTTTTCCCAATATTGGACAAATTTTGTAAAAAAAGATATCACATGTTTTTTTGCACATTTTTCGAGATATTGACTTGGAACCACGACCGATATTTTTTGGATGGTCCGTACTTAATTTCAATAGGGGACGCTTTTTGGGTTGCCATCTTGGATCTGCCATATTGGATCTGCCATATTGGATATAAATATTTTTTAATGTAATTGTAGTGTTGTGACCCATCATTATGAACTAGATTTCCACGCTGATTTCAATGCTGAAATCAGTTTTTAAATAGCGTTTTACGATTTTAAGATAAATAAAAACGAAAACTCTCCCCCATACATTTCTTATGGACGTTTCGTACTTTGACAATTTAAAAACACATTGAAAACTACCACAGCCTAAGGTTCAAGTATGGCGTGGAAATAGTTCACCAGCAGATCCAACAGATTGGGAGTGGTGTTTGACTGATCGTACATATGACTAACTTACTTATAAATAACTGTATAACTGTGTAACTTGGAAATTATATTTAGATAAGTATAGGATATGGCCTTTAAAAAATTTCAACAAAACGTTTTATGGTTTTATTTTGTAGTGTTGTGAAGAGTGAAAACGGGAAAAACTCGTCATAGCTATTCGTTCAAGTATTGACTTTTATTTTAGCTATGGATTCCTTATTGGGAGTTATTTAGAATTGGAGATAAATGTCTTTAACTTTTGACAAATTTCAAAATAACAATAATTCATTCAATAGTTCATTGAAGGTAGGCCTACATGATTCGTTTTAAATTTGTCATGTGTCATTCAATAACAAATAAAATTAAAGCCAAACATTTACTGAGTACTTTGATACCAGAACGAACTTGTTAACATATTAACAACCCGAGATATAAATCTTTTAACAAAAACTTATAAAAATAGTTTAATTTAATTTTGTGTTGGGTTTTGTACATCGTCTATAACTAGTCTGTTTTAACTATAAGTAAAACAAAATGAAAGCTAACTAAAATGAAAGCTCTTTTATCACTGAATATTTTAAGGCTAGAACGAACTGCAAGCATTAATAATACCTGGGGAAAAATAATCCAAACCAATTTTCAAAGTACTATACGTCCATAAGTGATGTAAAGGGGAGAGTTTTCGTTTTAATATATCTTAAGCAACGAAAAAACTTATTTAAAAACGGATTTCAGCATTGAAATCAGCGTGGAAATCTAGTTCATAATGATGTGTCACAACACTATAATTACATTAAAAAATATTTATATCCAATATGGCAGATCCAATATGGCTGATCCAAGATGGCGGCCCAAAAAGCGTCCCATATTGAAATTAAGTACGGACCATCCAATAAATATCGGTCGTGGTTCTAAGTCAATATCTCGAAAAATGTGCAATAAAACATGTGGTATCTTTTGTTGCAAAATGTGTCCAATATTGGGAAAAGCCGCCATTTTTTCCTTAATTTAGGGGTTTCACGTGGACTGATTTTTTGCAACTTTTGGTATGTCACTTTGCACACCACAACAATGAAAATAAAACTATAAAATGTTTACTTGCAAATTTGTATACGATTCCTGTGTCTGTTTTTTTTTAGTTTGCTTATGGACTATTACAATTATTTATAAAAAATATTTTAATTTGAAATATTTTATTATTTTTACCGGGTTTATTTTTTGTTGTAGGTACATGTATTTGGTATCATTTTAAAGGTAATTTCAGGAGGAACATTAAATGTATTGACGACTTTTCACCAATATTGACTGGAAAGTCAGAATTTCAATAAGAAGCCAAAAACTACTGGATTTGGCCGCCATTTTGGAAAAAACGGTGGTGTTCCACCAAAGATATTTTCGGAGACTTTTGATATGTTATTCACAATACTTTTCACTATCGAATAACAATGGTTTCATCTGTGTTCTAATTATTTCTAGGTCAAACCATATATTCAGGGGCCTATTAATGTTTTAATCCTCCTAGAGTAAGACCCACTCACTCTGCCATAAGCTTGGACGTCTTCGTTGAGTACAAACTTATCTGGGTAGATGTTCTCCAAGTACCACCTAAAGCTTTTACACTTGAGTCGTTTTCTCAGTTCCTTCCGTTTCGTCAGGTCTCCAATATCTGTTTCCTATGATAAAACAAATGTAGCGTTTGGATGGCATAAAATAATGTAATACCATTGCTCAAATTCTAAAATCATAAACACACTGGGGGAAAAGTGTTGGTGTTTTCTTCACCACTTCACAAAAGTCAGGTTGTGATGCTAAGCAGTCCAGTTAGAAGTTTCTTTAGTAAAAATTATTTCTGGAAAAGCACTCGGCTTTGAAATATATTGAGGACAAAGCAATCTAATCACTACTTATTCATCAAAGTGTTCCTGTCAGTAGGTAACTCACAAAATATTCACGACACAATTATTTTTATATTCAACAACCCCGTTCAAAGGGAAGTAGGCCTAGCAGGGACAGTGGCAAAACTGGCACTGAATTCAATGTTGCAAATACTACTTACAAAACTGTTAACAAACTTGTCAATCACTAGTTTAAATCCGGTCAAAATATTTCATAGAGGCATACAATGGTCTCTTTTACTATGATGCTCAAATTAGTTTTGTGGGCTAGGAATCAGGAAAAAGATTAATTGATTAGAGATTACGTAGTTTGTAGGATTTGTAACACGACGATAATCCTCATTTCATGAGCATTGAATTTTTTAGGAACATCTTTCATAAAATGTATGAAAGATGTTCATTTAATTTGGAATGACCATCTAATGGTCATTATAAATGAACTAGATAGGTGGATTTGCGAGTCCCATCTCAATCAGACATTTTGCTACTTTTAACATTTCCTTACAGTGTGTATCCACCAAAAACTTGCTTTAAATGCATTTTAATTTTGAGGGATAGTCTTGATAAAAATATACATAGTTAAGTTAATGTTTAATCCCAAGACCTCTATTGTTTAAAGGGTGAAACAAGTAAGTATTTAGAAAGCAATGGTGGTATATAACCTTGAGGTCGGGCCGGTGCATGTAGAAGAGCTCCTTGTACTCGTCCATCCACACCTCCACAGTACGTGCAGTGTTGATGCCGTGAGTGTCCTTGTGTCCGGGGAAGGAGTACGGGTGGAACGAGCGGAAGATGTGACCCACTCTAGAGCAAGGCACTGTCTCCACAGTACCTCCACACTGCCAGATCTGACAAACAAACATACATTGTTCAACAGTCTGGGCAGTTGTAGTATCTTAGTATTTATCTCATTTCATGTGATGAGTTCAATGCCATATGACAAAATATAATCAACTCTTTGCGTTTGAAAAACTATATTTAGGATGTCTTAATCGGTGTGGTTCCCAGCTGTCTGTGTTTTGAACAAGCAACATTAACAAAAAATCTTTTTTTACAAAAAACTTAATTTTTATCAAGATTTAGTGACAACTAGTGTACATGTTGCTCGAATTCGAGCAATTGCAAAGTGTTACAGGATTTATTTTAAAACGAATAACAGACATATTTACAATTAATTTAAAAGAGTCAACTCAAGATTACCGGTGTGTAACTCAGACCGTGTTTATCTTTGTTATTGATAAACCTAAATCATTCCGGCCGTTTTTCTCCATCTCAAAATACCCCGCTGTACAGGCAACACAGGTCATTGATAGAGGGCCAATTGAGAACGAAAAGTCGTTTTGGGGTAGTGTTAGGGTGCATTTGTAACCAATAGTTGAGATTGTCCAGGGTCAGGTGCTGACTGTGATGAGTTAAACCTATTACGCGCCACTGTTCTGTAGCTGCGGTCGTTATTACGATTACGCCTCCTGTCTGTTTCGTTGTCGTCGCGTCGGAGGCATTTAAAAGAAGAAAAAAATAAACAAATTATAGCGACACAAAACAACAATAAATACACAAATTTTAAGATACAACCATACCTACTAACACGATCCGTCTTGGGGGTTGTTAAAACAAACTCAAATAGTAAATAAACGTACTCAATGTGTTTCATTGAATAGAAAAATAAATAACAGCAGTTAAATTATACAGCTGATCAAAATGTAAACAATTATGTTCTTCATAAGGATAACATGGGAACTTTCGAAGCCACTGGGGCAAAGCCCAAGGGACTTTTACAAAAATGTAAGGCCAGTTTGCAAATCTACGCGACACGCTCTTTCCAATGAGACGTCAATGGATAAAATCGGTTAAGAAATGGCGGAGGAGTTCAACCGACAAAGTTTCATGTAGCGTATTAATTATATAGATACCTATGAGTATTTTTGTAACTAAATAATACCGAGCTGCTACTAACCCCACACTACACCGGACTAAATCAATATTATGATAGCGGTATCTAAATGTTGTATTTGTACCACTTTAATATTTTTTGTGTTTGTGTCGTCCGTGTTTAATTGTGTTTCGACGAGTTGCAAGCTTTGAAAATCTTCCCAACAAATCATGTAAGCTGATGAGAAATATTAATCGTTGGGCTATGATGGAGGTATGTAAAAACCTAGTATTGTCTTAACAATATAGTCCAGGGGCCAGAAACATGAATATTAATACAAAGCTGCTGGGAGGAAGCGGAAATGGTATCTGATACACAGGGAAATGTGGATGGATAGACATTTTTTCCCTTTTATTTTTTTCAAGGGAACAGTCCAAACCTTTTACTATTAAAGCAACTAGACATTCCATCCCCTTGATAAAGTTGTCGCCAGTTGTAATTAAAATCATGGTAGTTGATGATAGCCAGACATATTGTGCAGATCTAAATCACTAACTCCGGTCGAATGACGAATACACTAAAACTGTTTTACCAAGTCAAACTAACGAAATGACTTATTGTGATCAATAGCATCTGTTATGACCCATCTACTTGGTCAGCAACCAAAAATAAGGTAGGAAATAGAATTTTAGATACTAGCGCACCCTGTAACTGGCTCTTACAAGTATTTTTTTTTTTATAAAAACTTTGGCGACAGCTGGTACATATAGATGGAATGTCTACTTCAGTAGCCAATAGGCATTGGTCCAACCCCTGACCTTGGTACTATCATTGACTATTGGATACTGAAGTAGAATTCTTATCTATATGGACCAGCTGTAGCTAATTTTTTTATAAAAAAAGAACGTAGTTGTGTGAGCCAGTCACAGAATGCGCTAGTATCTAAAATTTTATTCAAACCTTTTTTTTTTGCTGACATGTTGAGGGCTCATAACAGTTGCTATAACTCATCATACGTCATTCCCTATGTTTGACTTGGTAAAAAGGTATGTGTATTTGACAGAATTTAGTAATTTAGATCAGCACAATCTATACAAGACTCACATTAACTATGACAATTTTGATAAAAAATCTAGCTACAAATTTAACATGGGGATGAAATGTCTAACTATAAAAGCGTCAACCTTTTGCTAGAAAGCATCATTAATTGATAGACTTATGAAAAATGGCATCTGGGTCATGGATCAATCACACCCAAGATGGAACCAGCAAACCCCAGATTTGCAGGCTATAACTACAACCACTGACAAAGCAATATACATTTTGTAAAAATTAATTTTTGTAATTGAATAAAACTTGAAAAATATTTTTTCAAACAAGACGACATTCCATGAGTGAGACTTACTCTGAAAGACATCTCCAGGTTTTCACCACCCCAAAGATCCATTTCATCATCGTAGGAGCCAGATTCCCAAAAATAATCAGTGTCTATGGCAAACAAACCTCCAGCCATAGTGGGAGACCTGTGAACAACAATCACTTGGAACAGTGATGTCAATGCGTAAACTTAATAGGTAGGTCTATAACTAATACGTATGGATATTACTAAAAAAAATCATTTTCACAACAATTATTCAGGAAAAAATACTCACTGTTTTTAATTTATTTATTTATGAGTGTCTTGTTTATGTAAAAGTTAATATTAATTCTGTAGCCTTGAGATCACATTCACATAGTCATTTTACTAGACATAGGAATAATTTAGAGTTACCTTTAGTCAGGCTAACAAAGTCACAAGAATCTTTTTTCTTATATAGGGTTAAAGATGTTTAATCGTTTGCCAGCTGAGGCACACTGTGTTGATCTTAAGTTATTTAAAAGTAAACTTTTTTGCTGGTTATCAAATCACCCTTTTTATAGTTTAAGTGAATTTTTTATGTCTGACATTGATATTAGTTTTTAGTTTCTGACTGATGTAGGCCTTAAATCTGTAACTTACTTTGTTGTTTAAATTATTTGTAGCCTAAATTATTGAATGTTATAGGCCCTAATTAATATGCAATCCACTGGACATTTTATCCTTGCAGATTACTGAGACTTCTTAGCCTAAGTTACTCTTATATTGACCTCAACAATACAAAATGTTCTTTTTGTAATTTGTTGCAATAAACTCTTGATTCTTGAAAAAAATAATTTTCACAACATATTTCTTATTAATTCCACATAAATAAATATAATGGCCACACTTTTATTTTAAATATTGTTAAGTAGAAGTTATATTAATCTAAAACAATTTAACAAACATTTGCGTTAATTTTATTTTCAAATAATGATGTTGTTCTTGAATCTAAAATTTGATAAACTACAAAGTAATCTTCCGAAGGTAACAGGGTAATGTATTATGCCTTGATGACGACTTTTGAACCTCGTTACAAATGCACAATTTGTGCACAGATTCCCTCATTATTCTTGTTATTTAGTATTTACCACTAGTAACTATTTTTACACTAACTTGCATACTTCAACCTTTCTTTGAAATTTTCAATGAAGATAAAAAAACACACACATACAATATTTGTACATAATTAAACTTGTTTGTTTACAGAAATCTAACTGGAATTGAAGGATTTCGTATGGCGTACAAAACTATCTTTCATCACGTAACAATTTTGTATCTCACCAGGTAGGGGCGATGACAGAGCCTCGTCTCTTGAGCTCTGACTCCGGGATGTCGTGCCAGGTGAAGTGACCACTCCAGGAGAAGCCTCCGACTTGGAACAGCAGCGAGCCCTCGTTGTGCATGTACTCTAGTGTCCGGTCGTCAATCACATCAATGACAGGCACCACCACAGCTGTCCTCTCCTCCTTGATACGCTGCAGTAGGGGCTCCAGCCTGCAACACAGGTCTCTTTCAATCTAGGATTTGCTGTTTCATATCGCCCTCAGAGGGCTGTGGGTGGATCATATCCAGCAAAGCAAGGGGTGAGCCGGTACAGTACAATAGTGGAAATATACTGATAAATTTAAAATGTTGGCACTGAGGTGTAAACTCACATCGCTGACTTGATTTCACAGATGTCACACTATTGACTGAGGCTAAGTGTTATCATACACCTAAGACTAAGTATTGTGAACATATTTCTACAGCAGTAAACATTGTCAATACAGTTGTGTACTGTTGGGAAGCAACGCTGCATCTTGCAAATGCGGAAGGTTATAAGTGTTGTGTTGTTAGTATGTAACATAGTAGTCTCAAACCTGGCAATGCTGCTTACAGGCAAAGAGCAGATAACACAAAGAATAATAAAAATAACAGTTATGAACATATTAAAAATCATTATATTAATACTCCTTTGGGTTTTTTTTATTTATTGAATTCATTGATATTTTTTGGTACTAAGCCATCTTCAAAAACATAATATAAATTACGGACAAAGTAAAAACACCATTATGTAAATGTAAAATATAAGATACTCTACTCAGCTATAGGCCTATTGTTGCTACTGCTAATAAGAAGTACGTAGGTACGAGAAGTTGGTGAACTGTGGTGTATGCAGCTCAAACAATCAGGAACAATAGTGAATTGCAAGTACCAAAATCCAAGTGCATATCTTACGAGGACAGATAGGGACAGCAAAAGGGTTTGTCATACTTACTCACAGAAGTACAACATGCTACCTAAAAATCAAGACTCTACTGAACGCATATTAGATAGGCTGGCCATTACTTACCACATAGTGCCAACTTCGCAGTGTGAGTCTAGGAACACAAGGACCTCCCCATAGGCCAGCCTGGCTCCCTGTAGTCTTGCCCTGATCAGTCCACTACGAGTGGCCAGTCTGTGCAGTACCACCTTACTGGGCAGCCTGGTGCGGATGTAGTACTCTAGTTTGCCCAGCAGTTCCTCTGCCACCCAACATATGTTATTACATTCATACTATTCTAATGTAACACTTTTTGTTTCCAGCATCAGTTGTTGACTGTTGTCTGCTAGGAGCACTGACCGCCTTTATCTATGTCAGTTTGGCAGCAACCACAGAAGCTTCTATCCACCAGCTTGGAATTATTTTTAGAAAAACTTTGGAATTTGAAAAAAATGGGGTGTGTTGCTAGCCCAGTGATAAGCATATAGGACTTTAGTGTAAGAGGGACGGGTTCAATTCCTAGCATGAAAATAGAAGAGAAAATAAAACAATTAATCCACAACACATATGGCTTTCCCTTAAAAGTGTTTTAAGTGCTTCTATTTTGCAACTCATCAAGTAAAATGCTGCAGGCGTTAAAACACCAAAAGGGAAAAAATCATATTACGATTTTGCAAATTTGTTTATATCTTTGGTAGCTGGATGAAGTAGCCATACGTACTTCGGTCACTAGCGTCGTCTACCAGCACTATCTGCTTGAGCAGGTGAGGTGGGGAGTTGTTGAGGACACTGTGAATGGTCCTGATCAGTGAACTCCACGCCTCGTTGGTGAAGATTATGACGACACTGGCATCGGGCAACTCTTCATCATACTCCACACTCTTGCATCTGCGGACAATGGTGTGGTTAGCTTAAGTGAATTTAACCTACCATTGATAGAAGTAGTAGATATCCTATTTATTCCAAGTTAAAATATAGGATCAAAACCAACTTCTTTTCTTAATCCAGTCTTGGCACACATCTGACGTCCCCGCAAACTGTGTTGAACATGTTCGTGAGAGAATAGGATTCTTTGTTGAACCGCCAGTTTAGGTTATATAATATGTGTTGTGTAAAATAAGTGTGTGTTAATGTAGGCCTACTTGATTTTTAACTTCTGACACACCATTTCGGGCAAGATCATACCTTATTTAAGTCTAATGAAGGCGGAATTGCCGAAATAGATGTAATTTAACCATGAATGAAGCTTGGACTGTCAGACATAACATAAAATTTCCATTTGTCTAATAGCTAGTTCGGAAACACCACAATCAAAATATTATTTCATCATGCCCGTCATCGTCGTATTTCTTTTTTTTTCTTATGAATTCAAAATCAGTTAGGTCTATTTTAAAACAAGTTTTTGTGAAAACACACACAGTTTAGATGAAAAAAAGTATTACACTGATCAATTCCAAGTAGTGATGCCAAACTTGATTCCCAATTTCCAGCATAGAAACAACAGCTTTCAGCCAATCTTGTTTAATATTTGCATGGTTAGTTCATAAGTGGAAGTTTTGTTATGTTACTCATAGGCTAAATCAATTCAATCAATTATCAATCATTAAGATGCGGACGCCACTTGGGTGCGTATTTTAACCCAAATATGAGTGAAGGATGAATGTAGAATGGTGTGAGATGATCTGTGTAGCTTTGTTACTGACTAAGATCAGCTGTTTCATTAGCCAGGTTCATTTATTAAACCAGTCAGTCACCTATTAAAATAATCAGTGGGACTTGCTTTTATGACCATTGACCATACCATATTAACAGCTCAAAAAAGCAAGTCCCACTAACTGTTTTAATAGGTGACGAAGAGATCTTTTCTTGAAGCAATGCTAGGTTTCTTGGTTTGGTCTTAGACAGGCAGTTCAACTTTCATGACCATATAGAGTTCATATCCAGAAGAATTAGCACAGGAACTTTTGTGATCAGAGGTCTTTCGAAGTTTACCGATTCTCGTGTAACCTTGAGTGCCTATTATGGACTGATTTACCCATTATTATCGTATTTGGTAGCAGTTTGGGGCTGTGAGAGCGTACGAACAAAGTTTGTCTTCCGTCTTCAGAAAAAAGCCCTAAGAGCAGCCGTCAGAATATCCCGTCGTACTTCTTGCAAGCCTTTCTTCAAGGAATACAATATTCTCACATTTCCATCCATATACATACTGAGTTGGCTATCGTTTTTAAAAAGAAATTTTCATCTGTATCAACCGCAGTTCCATTCAATGCAGTACATTCTCAGACAAAAAAACAATATCAAGCTACCTAAGTACAGGACAAGTTTCTTTGAGAGACACCTATTTTATAATAGTATCAGGTTTTTCAATGTGTTGCCTGAACCCCTGAAAGTGGAGCAAGACAAAGACAAATTTGGGAGAGTGGTCAAACGCATACTCTTAGAACAAGCTCCCTACACTGTGAGAGATTTTTTAAGTTGCCGATCGAATTAAGATACTGTTCAGTTACGTTTTAGTTCTAACAACATTTATAATTTAGTTTTGTTATATATTCTTGTGACGCTATTATACAGTTTTTTCTGTGCAAAATAAAGATGATTTGATTTGATTTATTTAAAGCCCAATGATCAGGAACAGCTTGGTCCAGTTTCGAACCATCAAAAAGCTACTGACTTTTCTCAGGATCAAACCGGCGACCTTTTGATTAGTAGGCGAGCACTATAACCACTCAGCTACCCAGCCAGTTACTGGTTCACAGCTTGGAGATGTAAGATAGCTCAAGTCAATAAGATATAAAGTAGACCTAAATATTTATAATTAGCCCCTAGCTATGCTTGCTTAAGAACTCATACTCCAAAACAAGAGGTTAAACTACTTCCGCCGACTCCTAGACCCATGGACTAAGTCATTTAAGAAAATATGATTTGTTACAAATAAATACTTACAATACAAAATTTTAAAAGTCCATACTTCTAGGGCAAGAATGAAAATCTATATATTAATGGGTCTGTACCAATTAACCTGGTCTGTATTAACCTGGGTCTGTACAAATGCCGAACCATCCTACCTGAGACAGCCAAGATTCAGCTGGTCCAATCAATTGTCTTGTCAGTGCTCTACTACTGTTTTCCTGCATATGGCAACAGCATCACAAATGAGGGCATGGAAAGGATTCAAAAACTTCAGAACACCGCAGTAAGATTTATATATGGTCTGCGGAAATGCGATCATATATCTGAATTTGAAAAAACTGCCGGTCTTTTGCCCTCAGCAGCCGTATGCAGGATCCAAACCTGCACTCTGGTTCATCGGGTGCTGGCCAAAAAAGAACCAGCTTACCTGATGGAAAGACTGGTCTCCCGCGATCGGGTGTCTCGGTGCAATACTCGGCAGAACAAGCAGTTTCACTTCCCGAGAGTGAGGCTGGAGATTGGCAGGAGAGGTTTTTCTTACTTTGGGCCCAAGTTGTATAACGACCTCCCCTGTGATCTTAAGTTGCTGGGTGTTCCAGCGTTCAGAAATAAAATAAAAGAAATGTATACAGCTGTGAATGAAGTACCTCAAATTTTGTAAATAGATTGAAATAGAAATGTAAATAGAATTTTTTGCTTGTATACTTTCTGATTAGATTATATTTTCTGTTAGTTTTATATAGTATTAGTTAATTGACAAGAGTTATCCTGTAAAGCAGTTTATACTGAGGAACGCTTGCTAAATAAAGGCATTTTTGATTTGATTTGATTAATTTGAAACTGTTTTTCTTTGTCATAGCTAAATTGAGAGAACGGCTGGGCGTAGAAACTCGGTAGAGGTGTCTAAAGAAACGTCTTGGTATGTAGATGAGCCATCAAAAGAGAAACGTGGTAAATTCCCTTGGGGCTCTGCCCCAGTGGCCTTTGAATTCCCATCCCATGTTATTCTTATGGAGGAAAAACTGGGTTTTTGTCCCAGCTAATTTGAGAGAACGGCTGGGCGTAGAAACTTGGTAGGGGTCTCTAAAGAAAGGTCTTGGTCTATAGATGAGCCATCAAAAGAGAACCGAGGTAAATTCTCTTGGGGCTCTGCCCCAGAGCACAGATAATATAACCCCTGGGTTATATTATCTGTGCCCAGAGGCATTTAAAGTCCCCTCAGCAGATTTGTTTACATTATGACCATATGTCTAATTTTACATTACTTTTTAATGAAACAGCTGTTAATATTTAAATTGTGATTTACTGCATTTGTCAAAATGAAGTATTTGCAAAGTATCTGATTTTAAAATCAATTTTCTTCTGCATCGTGTCGTGTTTTGCAATATAATGTTGTAATGTTGTAATGTTATAATGTGCAATCCAAATCAGTGGAAAATCCTAATAACTTATCACAGTAACTCTTAAAATTATTTCTTATGGAGTTAACTTAAATATATTGTGTGGGTTGGTTTCTGCCTTTTTTTACCACTTCTTGGAGATTGTGCGTAGGTGTGTTGCACGTAAATGATATTCTTTGGCGTATTGCATCCGTAGACGATACTTGGGTTGGTGTAATTATTACAATGGAAAAAAGCGAGAAATCCTGGATAATTTGATATAAGTTAGGCCTACTAAAAATTAAACTGAATTAAAATAAATAGAAATAATGTTTTTTTTTCATTTTTAATTGTTATCATAGAGAACCTAATGGGGCTATGAGTGGGAAACATTTGTAGAAAACTCTAAACAACAAGATCAGCTTTTGAAAAAAAGATAAGATATTTATTGCAAACAATTTTGATTATATCTAACTGTTGTGTACATCGTGAGTATTTCCATAATCTTTGACTCGACTTTTATAAAGTCATCGGAAATTATGACCGTTATTCGTTTTAAAATAACGCCTGTAATGATTCGCAATTGCTCGAATTCGAGCAACAGGTACACTAGTAACCATAATCCTAGTAAAAGTTTGTAACAAATCCACACTCCCCAAAAAAAATTGTAGGCTAAAATAAAAAGTTCATAATTTTACTCACAAAAAAATAAAACTTGAGTATTATGGGATAGTCGGTCCTCAAATCAAAATTTTTGAATCCTATCTAACAAATAGGCGACAAAAAGTTAGTGTTAAGGGTTCAATGTCAGTCGCTACCCAGGTTGAGTACGGTATACCGCAGGGCTCGGTCCTGGGCCCATTCCTATTTTTGGTTATGGTTAACGACTTGCCTGATAATGTCTCTGCTAGTACTGTCATGTTTGCTGATGATGCGACCTTTTTTAGAAGCGAGAAAAATTTTAATGACCTTTGTTGCACCATGAATGAAGTAGTTCTTAAAGAGGCAGCTGAATGGTATGCAGCTAACAAATTTCTCCTTAACTTGAATAAGACACAGAATATAACTTTCTCTCTAGACGTAAGAGCACCGAAAGAGGCAGATGATGACAGTAGCGTTAAACTTTTAGGTGTCCATCTTGATCCTAAGTTAGTTTGGGATACTCATGTTACTAAGGTTTGTTCGAAGCTGTCCAAAGTTGTTCACATGTTGCGTCGCCTTAGATTTAGCCTACCTAGTCATTACTTAAGATCTTGTTATTTTGCTTTTTAGCGAATTTCCCTATAGGGAAGTAGCTATTACCGTAGGTGGCACGGTAAGACCTAGACCCGGGACCGATTTACTTTTTCATTTTGATGTCCCCAGAGGCCAAAAACACCATTCGTTCAAATTTTTATATATGTATATATATATATATAGATTTATATATATATATATAGATTTATATATATATATATATATATATATATACGTCCGTGAACGCGATAACTTGAGTAATTTTGGTCCGATTTTGATGAAATTTGGTTTAAAGGTGTAAAGCGGGATAAACTTGAATGAGTTCGCGAACCAGCTTGATCGGACCATGGGAACGGGGCTTTA